CTTTTTTAGAAACCTGTTTATTTTTTACGCATGTTAAAACGAATTTTGGAAACGTAAAATTATTTCGCGTCCATGATCGGTTGTGTCTATTTCACTTGTGTTCATTTAATTTTCAGACAGATTTAAATCCTTAACTAAATAATGGATTACTTTCGCTCCATTTTTCACAACTCTCTCATAGACAGACCTCAGATTTGCATTCATCGGGATAGGTGTTGTTTAGCGTTCCTTGCATTGCTCCAAATAAGCATAAGGTGAATCAATTTCTGGTTCCATCCGTTAGGACTTCAGAGCCCACCCCATTCCCGCCCGGACCACTGAGACGCTTTCAGTTGCTACTCAGTAATTCAAGGGGAATGATTGGCTTTCAAAACTGATTAATGCATATGTGAACCAATTTCTTCAATATTTTTTGGGATACTCTAGGGATCAAAACCGCATTCTTAAATAGTTTGAAACAAATATGGCCGTCTTTGATGCTCATGCTTTGTTTAATCTAGGTGATGGCGACAAACGAGAAGTCCTGCCGTTTATTTTCATGCTTATCTCTAAGCATTCCACTGAATTTTATACTCGTTCATTAAAAATGAACTTCGCCTTGTTAATGAAAATCCCAAATCACTTTTCTTTTCCAACCATTGAATCAGATGATTGTTTCTCACTAAATTTTCATGAATCTCCGAAGGTCACAAATAAGCTATATGATAGCTTCATTGTTTTTTTCTGATTTGTGACATTTCTGTATATAACGAATAGTTATAATATAGTTATCGATATTTCCTACATTTAAAGAGGGGAACATCTGTTCCAGTAATCGTTATCTTTATCACATCACTGTCAACTCCATGAAAACTTTTTATTGGATTTCCCTGGATTGGGTGAGGCAGGCAGTTAATGGAAGATTTCGCCTAAATCAAGCAGGTTTCATTTTCGATATGTAAACTGTGAAAAACTTATTGACGATCGTTGATTAAGAATCAGTGAGCAGTGCCGGTGATTCCAGTTGCTTTGGTTTGGCAGTTTTTTCGATTCACTACATCTGATTCACTGCGTTTTTCATCGATGTGCAAAATCTTGACATGCTATGGGACAAACAAATGTTTGCATTTTGTAAGGGACACATGGACGAGTCATATCTGCTGTAAAAGTTAATAGATATATTTGAATGATTCCCTGTGGAATTCACCAGGCCAAGGAGATGTACCGTCGCCTTTTCTATTCAGCATTGTTCTCGACTTTTTGTCTGAAACATTCCTTACCTCGACAACTATGAAAGTCTTATTCTAAAGGGAAGGCGCGGTTCAAGACCTGGGGCAAAATATCTGGCCAACTTGGATGATACACAGATCATATTGTTCCGGTGAGCTGTACGGGAAGCGAGCTGTGTCACCTGGGAACTTCTGTATGCAGCACGGTCATAAAACCGTATCTCCTTAATGCCTTCAAAAGTAGTGAGGAATTGATTCGGCACAGCGGATTTGCGGTCCAGGAGTTTGACCAGTTTAGGATTCTCGGCTCCATCATCTCCAGCAGCAGCCCCCTCCAATCCGAGTTAAAGGTGAGGATTGCCCTCGCCTCTAGTGCTTTTGATAATTTGGCCAATACTTGAGCTCTGAAAGGGGTAACTCTTTTTGCATAAATCAGCCTGTACTCTGTCTTGGTTATGTCGGTGTTGTGGGGTGTGGAAACAGATGTTCAAACCAAGCAGCAAGTACGATGGTTGAACTAGATACAGCTGCGTTAGCTTTAACGTTTAAAAAAGGTTAAATGGAAAGACTGTGTAAATAATGACTCCATTCTTTTTTACAAATGAATGAGTTCACTAGATGTGGAGATTGAGAAAAGGATTTTGGGCCCTGTTACATACACTGATTCAGCATACACAGTTTACTGTAGCCAAAATACTTCTTATGAAACATGGCAGATGAGAACCAGTAGACATGCAATATTATGGATGAAAGTAGCAGCAGATCTGCTTTAGGAGAGGAATATTTCATTTAACGATGCGTCAGGTTAGAAGAGTTGGAAAAGTTTCAAAGAAAATGCAGCAAACATCAGAAACCAGGGATATTCTGCTACGGGGCCTTCAGATGAAGATGTTAACATGTACAGAACGCGCGCGAAGTAGAGGGAATAGTACTGGCATTAAGAAAATTTTCATGTCCATGATCAGCTTTCCTGTAAGTATAAGCTGAAAAAACAGCTGTGAATAAGTTATCAATAGTAACGACCAGTAAAGGTGATTATGAATCAGCTCAGCTGTGTCGTAGCGAAACATTATCCTCATTCTAAAGCAGTGTTGTTGTACAAACAAACTGCATGGAAATCCTCTTTTCATGACTCGCAGTTTTTATATTTTCAGTATAAATATTTCTGAAAGAATTTTACGAATAATTTTATATAGCTGTGCTGAGTTTTGGCTAAGTTTAAAAGTCGTAGCTTGAGGGTTCGGGCTTAAGCTCATGAGGTGAGCGTAAACCATTTGACGCAACAGTCGTTTCGTTTGGTTGTAAAATAGAATGTGTGCTGCGAATGAGTGTGATTTAGGTTATGGAGGTGATTTGCCTGGCGCCGCCAGAGCAAAATGGCGATTTGGGAACTGTCCAAAAGCGAAATGACCTTCTATCTGCAGTCTATGCATCTCTTATTTTACTCTTGTTAGATTTCGCAAAGCAGTGACAGAAAATAGCGGATTTAGAGCAAAAACGTCGAAACACTTTCGAACGGACCTGCAGCAAGTTGCCAGTGCTGTTAGCTTCATTTCTTCTTCTGGAAACGAGCGTACGTTCGAGGTGGGCAAGGACAATAATGTGCGTCCTTTCCTGGCGGTCCTTGAGGTCCAGGGTCTCCAGCGGGACCTTGAAGGCCACGACCACCGGGCGGTCCTCTGCCTCCCTAAAATCACAGTCGCTGCATCGATATCGATATAGGCAAAATAGTTTACCGGTGCTCCTGCCATTCCCATTTCTCCCATCATGCCGTTTTCGCCACGCCCACCTTTGGGACCCATTCTTCCAGCTGGTCCTGGCGGTCCTTTTGGACCTCTTCTTCCCACACTGCCATGAGCATCGTTTCCTCTTCGCCCTTTGGGACCTGGTCTTCCACTAGGTCCTGGTGGTCCCATCATTCCAGCTGGTCCTGGTGGACCAGAACCGCCAAAACCTCTTCCAGGATTGCCTGGACGACCAGGTGCGCCCGGTGGTCCCATAGGACCCATCTCTCCGGCCATTCCTGTAATAT